TAATTACTACAGCTTTGTAATATCATTTGAAATCTGGAATTGTGATGCCTTCAGCTTTGCTTTTCTTTTTCAAGATTGCTTTGGCTATTTGGGGTCTTTTGTGGTTCCATAAAAATTTTAGGATTGTTTGTTCTAGCTCTGTGAAAAATGCTGGTGGTATTTTGAGAGGGATTGCACTGAATGTGTAGATTGCTTTTGATAGTATAGACATTTTAACAATATTTGTTCTTCTAATCCATGAGCACGGAATGTTTTTCCATTTCTTTGTGTCTTCAGTTTCTTTCATCAGTTTTTTATAGTTTTTAGAGTACATGTCTTTCACCTCTATGGTTAAGTTTACTCCTAGATATCTTATTATTTTTGGTGCAGTTGTAAAGGGGATTGCTTTCTTAATTTCTCTGCCTGCTGCTTCTTTATTGCTGTATAGAAATGCAACAGATTTCTGTATGTTGATTTTGTATGCTGCTACTTTACTGAATTCATTGATCAGTTCTAGCAGTTTTTTGCTAGTCTTTTGAGTTTTCTACATGGAGTATCATGTCACCTGCAAATAGTGAAAGTTTTACTTCTTCCTTACTGATTTGGATGCCTTTTATTTCTTTTTGTTGTCTGATTGCTGTGGCTAGGACTTCCAGTACTATGTTGAGTAAAAGTGGTGAGGGTGGACATCCTTGTCTTGTTCCTGACTCTTTATCTGAGTCTGTTGAAATGATCATATGGTTCTTATACTTTCTCTTATTGATGGGATGTATAAAGCTTATTGATTTACAAATATTGAACCAGCCTTGCAACCCAGGAATAAACCCCACTTGATCATGGTGAATGATTTTTTAAATGTATTGTTGGATTTGGTGTGCTAGTATTTTGTTGAGGATTTTTGCATCTATGTTCATGAGGGCTATTGTCCTGTAGTTCTCTTTTTTAGTGCTGTCTGTATCTGGTTTTGGAATCAGAGTCATTCTGGCCTCAGAGAATGAATTTGAGTTTTCCTTCCTTTTCTATTTTTGGAATAGTTTGAGAAGAATAAATATTAACTCTTCTTTAGACATTTGGCAGAATTTACCTGTGAAGCCATCTGGTCCTGGATTTGTATTTATTGGGAGTTATTTTGATTACTGATGTAATTACTTTGCTGGTTATCAGTCTGTGCAAAATCTTTATTTATTCTTGTTTCAGTTTTGGTAGTTTATATGTTTCTAGGAATTTATCCATTTCTTCTAGGTTGCCCAGTTTTTTGGAATATTGTTTTTCATAAAGTTATCTTTTAACGGTTTGTACTTCTGTGGTGTTGTTTGTTATTTCTCTTTTATCATTTGTGATCTGATTTATTTGAGTCCTTTCTCTTTTTTTGTTCATAAGTTTGACTAAAGGTTTATCAATTTTCTTGATTTTTTTCAAAGAAGCACCTCCTGGTTTCATGCTCTGTTCTATTGTTTTTGTTTGTTTGTTTGTAGTTTTTAAATCACTTCTGCTCTAGTATTTATTATTTTCTTCTGCTGGGTTTAGGCTTTATTTGCTGTTCTTTTTGCAGCTCCTTTAGGTGTAAGGTTAGATTATTTACTTGAGATTTTTCTTGCTTCTTGAGGTATTGCTCTATTGCTATAAACTTCTCTCTTAGGACCACTTTTGCTGCATCCCAAAGGTTTTGGACCATTGTGTTTTCATTTATTTCCATTTATTTTTTTTATTTCTTCTTTTATTTCCTGGTTGACTCACTCATTGTTTAGTAAGCTTTTATTTAACCTCCATGTATCTGTGGTTTTTCCAGATTTTTTCTTGTGGTTGACTTTTAGTTTCATAGTGTGGTCAGAAAAGGTGCATGGTATGACTTCAATATTCTTGAATTTGTTGAAGCTTGTTTTGTGGGCTAATATGTGATCTATTCTGGAGAATGTTCCATGTGCATTTGAAAAGAATGTGTGTTCTGCGGTTTGAGGATAGCATGTTCTGCATATATCTGTTAAATTCATCTGTTTCCATGTGCATTCAAAGCCATTGCTTCCTTGATTTTCTGTTTAGATGATCTGTCTATTGATGTGAGGTGTTAAAATCCTTTCCTACTATTGTATTATTATTGATTAGTTCCTTTATGTTTGTTATTGTTTTATATATTTTGGTGCTCCTATACTGGTTGCATAAATATTTACAATGCTTATATCTTGATGGATTGTCCCCTTTATCATTATATAGAGTCCTTCTTTGTCTTTTGTTACAGTCTTTGTTTTAAAGTCTATTTTGTCTGATACAAGTATTGCTACTCTGGCTTTCTTTTGATCTCCATTTGCATGATAGCTGTTTCTCCCTTCCCTCACATTCAATTTGCAGGTGTCTTTAGGTCTAAAATGAATCTCCTGTAGGCAGCATGTAGGTGGGTCTTGTTTTCCCATCTTTTCTGTCACCTTATGTTTGTTGATTGGAGTGTTTCGTTCATTTACATTCAAAGTAATTATTGATAGGTATATATTGTCATTTTATTATTTGTTTTGTGGTTGTTTCCAAGATTTTCTCTGATCATTTCCTGTTTTTCTCTCTTTCAGGGTTTGCTGATTTTCTTTAGTGATATATTTGGATTTATTTCTCTTTATTCTATGTATACTTGTTAGTATTGATATATGGTTGCCATTACGTTTGCATATAACCTGCATATTACAATCTATATTAAGTTGATGGTTGTTTAAGTTTGAACCCATTTTTTTACTCCTTTCCTCTCCATTTCATGTATATGTTGTTATATTTTGTATCCATTTATTTTGTGAGTTCCTTGACTGATTTTTTAGAGAAATATTCACTTTTACTGCTTTTGTGGTTCCTATCTTTAAACTGTCACTTTTGGTCTCTCCTTTCTCAGAGAGTCCCCTTTAATATTTCTTGCAGGGTGGTTTAATGGTCATGAACTCCTTTAGTTTTTGTTTGTCTGGGAAACTCTTTATCTCTCCTTTTATTCTGAATGTTGGCTTTGCTGGATAGAATATTCTTGGCTGCAGATTTTTCCCATTCAGCACTTTGAATATATCATGCCACTCCCTTTTGTCTTGCAAAGTTTCTGCTGAAAAATCTCCTGCAAACCTTAGGGATTTTCCCTTGTAAATTACTGTCTTCCTTTGTCTTGCTGCTTTAAAAATCTTTTCTTTATCACTATATTTTGCCGACTTAATTACAACTATGTCTTGGTGTGGTTCTGCTTTTGTTGATTTTCATGGCAGTTCTCTGTGCTTCCAGGATCTGGATATCTGTTTCTTTCCCCAGATTTGGGGAGTTTTCAGCTATTATTTGTTCAAATAAATTTTATGTTCCTTTTTTTTTTTCTCTTCTTCTGGGTTTCCTATAATACGAATATTATTACATTTGATGGAGCCACTGAGTTCACTAAGCCTATTCTCATTTTGCAAAATTCTTTTTTCTCTCTTTTGTTCAGTTTCATTACTTTCCATTTCTGTCTTCTGGTCGCTAATTTGTTCCTCTGCTTCGTCCATCCTGCTGTTCATTCCATCAAGTGCATTTCTCATTTTGTTTATCGAGCCCTTTATCTCTGCTATGTTATTCCTTATTTCTGTGTTAAGGGTCTAACACATTTCTTCCACCCTTTTCTCAGGTCCAGTGAGTATCCTTCTTATCATTGTTTTAAATTCTCTATCAGGCATGTTACTTATATCTGTTTTGCTTAGATCTCAGGCTATGGCTTGTCCTGTTCTTTCATTTTGGGTAAATTTCTCTGTCTCCTCATTTTGCCTACCTCTCTGTGTCTGTTTCTCTGTGTTAAGAAAGTCAGCTATATCTTCTGCTCTTGAAAGTAGTGACTTTATGATGAAGAGGTCCTGAAGTGCACTGCAGTGCAGTGTCCCTTACTAACCAGAACCTCGCACTTCAAGAGAGTATCCTATGTGTGTTGCTTATGCCCTGCTCTTGTGTCTGAGACACTTTTCCTTTCAGTGCAGTTGTCTGCCCTGTCTCTCTGCCTGTTGTGGGCTGGCACTCAAATATTTTCAGTGAATAAATTTACAGTCCTTTAGATGTTTACATCATTATGTAGATGACCATATATAAGAGCTTAAATTACATTTCTATTCATTCACAGTGAAGCATTGAAAAAAAAGCAAGAGTTTAACTTTTTTTTTTTTAGTAATTTAAATGACAGACACTAAAAAGGAACTCCTATTTGCTTCTCTTAAAGAATGTGGCAGAGTGTTTTGAGTTGTACCTACTTTGCAGGTGGAAGTCTGTAAGATTATCTACTCAGATCATGAAGGGTATGAAAGTAGATTCAGAAATAAGAGAAATTCTTGATGTGCAAAGAGAAGAGGTTTTGATCAGAGTGGAAAGTTTCAGAGTTTGACATCTTGGACTTAAGGGGTAATGAATTTAAAAAGTGATCATGCCCCTAGTTGGGTGAAATCCAGTGATGATTAATTGATTGACATTGAAAGGGTAATATAAAGAAGTTTCTTCCAAAAATTGGATTTAAGAATTTCATTTATCTTTTGTTTTTCTGATTGAAAAGCTGGAGCTTATTAATTCCCATAATAAAAAAGAGTGTAAGTCAGTATGCAAGTATATATATTTAATTCAAGTTTAAAAATTTGTTACAGATATACTTAGGTCTTGAATTAATTGATGAGATTTATTTATTGCTGTATTTCTTGGAAACCACAGTAACAGTGTTGCTGTAACCATAGGTACGCAGTTAAAAAATGTGAACACATATTTGATTTAAAAGATATATTAAAATTAAATGTTCTGTTATTATTTTGCATATTGAATTTTAAACAATAAACTGGCACTTTATTAAGGAGAAAATATTCTAAGAAAACAATGAAACACATTAAAGAATATATTACTATAAAAGACTATTTTTTTTTTTGATGTAGTGTTCCATGATCCATTGTTTGCATGTAACACCCAGTGCTCCATTCAATACGTGCCCTCTTTAATACCCATCACCAGGCTAACCCATCCCCCCACCCCCTTCCCCTCTAGAACCCTCAGTTTGTTTCTCAAAGACTATTCTTATTTATTTTTCTTGTGTCCTTGTACACTAAGCTATCTTTGAAAACAAAAATGTCCTGCTCTTGTGATAGAGAGGCCTAGAAGTGAAAAAGATATAAGTAGTTAATGAATAATGCATTGGTTGATAGAAATGGTCAAATTATACAGTTTCCTAGTGGATACCATTTTTCTTCGTTGAGAGGGACACTATAAAGTTGGATGTTAATTGCGCCCACAAATACGGTTTTGCTCTTCACAATAAGCATTAAGACATGTCCTCGGAGCTCTGTGACTTCATCATACACCACCTGAAAAGGGAGAGAATAATTAAAATATAAATCAGATATGCTTAAATGCACCTTTAAAAATATTGCTTTTAATAAAAATATTTAGCTGTTAATATCATTTAGCTTGGAATAGCTAGGTTAATGAAGAATCTTTCATGTCTAACTCTAATTCTGGAAAGCTAAAGATTCAGCTAACATAATGGAGTTTAATGACAGAATATTTCTCTAAGAAGCTTAGAATTTATTCTGATTCCATTAATAATTGTTCATCCAAAATTTAATATGACTGTAAATTATTCTCTAGGAAGAAATTTAAGTACCCATCACCTTTTAACTGTCCTTGAATTTATTGTGCAACATGGGACCTTGAACACTATCTTTCTTTGCTGAAGACTAATGAGGAAAGCAGACCAATCTCCATGATTTCCTTGTTAATTTAGTGCAGTATAACAATATTTCCATCTACATGTGAAGAATTCATTCTGTGCTTACTTTAATTTATTTAAAATGGTTTAATTTTTAATTATGAAAACACATGCTTATTAAATAAAATATGTATGAAACAAAAAATAAAGGAAAATCTATATTTCTACCACTGGGAGATAATTATAGTTAACATTTCAGTGTTCTTTTTGTTTTACATATATAATTACTTTTTAAGAATCTGAGCTGTAATTTTGCTGTATGTACAGTTTTGTGTCTTGCTCTTTTCTGCTTGCTAGTCATGTAATTAGTTTCTAAAAAGGGATCTGTTTAACTGTGTTTTATAATATCCAGGAAGAAAGTCATGGGCATTACTGTCGGGTGCCTACGGTAGTAAAGAAACTTCAGAAGTGTAGTACTATCAAGAAATTAGTTACCCATCATGAAGGGAGGGAAAAGCTGTGTATAAATCCAACATGGTTGCCAGGGAAACTCCTTAGAACACATTTAGAAAAGGAGTTTCATATGCTGCTACTGACTTGCTTGTTTTTTATAGCCAAGCTACAAGATAGAAAGAAGTGTTCTCTATATATGCAAAAAAGTAGAGGAAAAGCTTGAGAGGGAAGCCCTTTGAGTCAGTTGGGAGGCCTCCTCAGTGTGTATGGATATGGTTTCTGGTGCATTGCATTTCATTTGTCTACATTTATGAACCTAAAAAGTTATCAATGAAATTCCATTCAAGATCAATCTGACAGCTCTTCTGAACAATGATTTACTTAAGGAGTAAATAACAATTTCAGTTAAGGGACATGAGATGCAATAAACTATGTTAATCCAGTCTACCTTGCCTCATGTGACAGTTCCTGGCTACCTCCTCTTCTAGAATCCTACTCTCATTCCAGACAGAAGATTATCTTTTAAGTTTCTTAGGATTGACGATTCAAATTATTCCATTTCATTTATTGAGTTCCCCTGGGATAGTAAAGGATTTTAAGGGTTGCCTTAAAAATCTCAAAACCTTACCACTTTAATTCATCCTCTTTTTTTCTTTAAATTTTTTATTGTTATGTTAACCACCATACATTACATCATTAGTTTTTGATGTAGTGTTCCATGATTCATTGTTTGTGTATAACACCCAGTGCTCCATGCAGAATGTGCCCTCTTTAATACCCATCACCAGGCTAACCCATCCCCCCACCCCCCTCCCCTCTAGAACCCTCAGTTTGTTTTTCAGAGTCCATCGTCTCTCATGGTTCATCTCCCCCTCCGATTTACTCCCCTTCATTCTTCCCCTCCTGCTATCTTCTTCTTCTTTTTCTTTTTTTCTTAACATATATTGCATTATTTGTTTCAGAGGTACAGATCTGTGATTCAACAGTCTTGCACAATTCACAGAGAGTATAGGGATAGAGGGTACATACCTCAATATCATAAAAGCCATCTATGGAAACCTACAGCAAATATCATTCTCAAAGGGGAAAAACTGAGAGCTTTCCCCCTAAGGTCAGGAATGCAGCAGAGATGTCCACTATCACCACTGCTATTCAACATAGTATTAGAAGTCCTAGCCACAGCAATCAGACAACAAAAAGAAATCAAAGGCATCCAAATCGGCAAAGAGGAAGTCAAACTCTCACTCTTTGCAGATGATATGATACTGTATGTGGAAAACCCAAAAGACTCCACCCCAAAACTGCTAGAACTCATACAGCAATTCAGTCAAGTGGCAGGATATAAAATCAATGCACAGAAATCAGTGACATTCCTATACACCAACAACAAGACAGAAGAGAGAGAAATTAAGGAGTCAATCCCATTTACAATTGCACCCAAAACCATAAGATACCTAGGAATAAATCTAACCAAAGAGGCAAAGGATCTGTACTCAGAAAACTATAAAATACTCAGGAAAGAAATTGAGGAAGTTCCATGCTCATGGATTGGAAGAACAAACATTGTGAAGATGTCAATGCTACTTAGAGCAATCTACACATTCAATGCAATCCCCATCAAAATACCATCCACTTTTTTCAAAGAAATGGAACAAACCCATCCTCTTTAATAGCAATGGGATGCCCAGTGTGGACTCTGTGAGCCATGTCTCCTCCTGGACTCTTATCTTTCCAAGACTTCAGAGAAAGTTCCTTTTCCTCTTTTCTACAGTGGCTATTTTGAACTGTCTCCATTTTCCTCCCCACAACACTTTCAGCAGACAAAGTCATTTATTTTACAGAGCAAATAGATGAAGGGGCCCTCAAAGTGTTACTGTATGTGAAGTAGAAAAATAGAATAACTCTAAGCCTTAGGATTTTGTGAAAATCTGGCTTAAGAACTCTGTGAATCATATAAATAAGCTCTGAAGATGTAAATTTCTATGACACATAATTTATGTTTATATGAATCTATTGTCAACTATATGTTTTCTCATTTGCATAATGGTGATAATAATATTTGCCTTTTAGCATTGTGGGGAAGAATAAGCGAGATAATGAATGTAAACCTTACTACAAAGCCTGGTGCATATTGAACACTAGTAAATTATAGCTGAAAAAGATCCATCAAATACACAAAGAAAAACAGCTGTTTCTTGGTATTTTGCATTAGCTGACTGGAGAAAACAGTTCCAGACAGAATTGAATCTCCCTGGTATTTAGCAAGCTGAAATTCTCAAGAAATGACTTTAAGAATTAATCGCCTTTCTGGTTAAAATACAAACATTTGAACTCCAGAGTTTATATTAACTTACGGATTTCTTTCCCTGGGCTTCATTACGCAAAAATTATTTTCTTAAAAGTAACTGAAGTTTTATAAACATGTAGTCATTGCACATCAGAGATGATATATGTCTATTTTAATTGCTTTACTGCATCCATAATGTTGTTAAAAAAATTAGCACTCTTACTTGTGATGAGCACCAGGTGATGTATAAAAGTGTTGAATCACTATATTGTACACCTGAAACTAATACTACTCTGTATGTTAACTAACTGGAATTTAAATGAAAACTTAAAAAAGAAATAAATAAAAAAGAAAAAAATAAGCACTCTTACTGTGCAATGAATAATTAGTGGGTAATGCTAAAGAAGTACAGAAATAATTATATTCTTTGAGACTTTTTCACCAAATGCTTTACATATTCTATCTTCACATGGATAGAATCAAAATGCACAGCTTTTTCAATTTCACCTTATACTACTTTTTACCCATAGACATACACTAAGTCTTCATTGCCTTCTGACAAACACTGAATTTGTAGGTTTGAAATTATTACATCAAACAGAAAAACCTTGTTTAGGGTAATTAATATCTGGTGACTTGTATACAAGCACTCATTGTATGTTATTTGACATGAAGGTATAGTAAATAATTCTAAAGTGTATTTAGTGTATTTAGAATCACTTCATTCTAAAGAAGAACAATAACATGGAAACTGAAATGTGTTGGTGGGAAGGGGAGTGAGGAGGCAGGATAATGAAGAGGAGAGTTCAATATAAGTGAGAACGGGAGAACTCTGTGGGTGGGGACAGGGAGGGACAAGAGCATAACTTAGTGGGACCAGTATGGGTTTTGGAATCTGGCAGTTCTGGACTTGAAAACTAGTTGCTTTACCCTCGTTGAAATGTTTGACATCAGGGCCTCAATGACTTCATTTACAAATAGAATTTTCATCATGTTATGAATATCAAATGAGTGGATGATATAGATAACAATGGCTATGGCTTACTGAGTATACCATATACTTAGTGCTATGCTAGATAACCATACACACTCTGCAAGATACTTTAAGGTATGTAAAACGCATAGAATGTTCCTGTTCTAATGTCCTTTCTAATTTCTTCTTTATATTTTATAATAGAATGACATCTAAGAAAGGAATACAACGTACAAAATATGTTGACTCTAACAATGTAATTCTGTTATAAAATAGAATCTGTATTTCTAAAGAATCATTGAAAAAAAATGATGGTTTTTAACCAGATGCCAAAGATAATAGAGTGGAAAGAGCAACGACATTGGAGCCAGAATCTTAGCTCTGCTTCTTAAAAGCTGTAGACAGCGCATTCCTACTGCCAGCTCCACCCTACCTTCAGCCCCGTCATGTCTACAACAGGGATTTGTATATGATAGGGGTTTTCAGGGAGACTGCTGACAAAGTCTGTTGGGAATCACTCTGGGAAGTGTCAAATAGACAAGCTTGGCCCTGTATCAGAAAAATTTAGTATCTGAAGGGTGGATATGAAAGGGACTCTTGGCAGCGTCCCTGACTCAGCCTTTCTCCGTCTGGGTATTAGGGAGACAGACAGAGAGAGAGAGAGAGCTATGAATAAAAATGGAAATAATGATTTTCATGAAAAGCTTTGTAAGACATTGGTGATGCAATGTAATATGCCCTTCTTATTCCTTTAAGAGATTTATATAAAAAAGGAGAGTGAGGTCATTCTCTCCTACTTCTTAGAACATTGAAGGGCTTTGGCAGTTTGAGAAATCCCAGTCATACCGAGTGGCTGATGCAGCTGTGCTCAGGATGCAAAGCAGGGGAGAAGTTAAAAATAAGGTGGATGCCACGCGATAATTTACTGGGCTTCCTAGAAAAC